GAGCGGCGGCCTTAGGCCGCTGTGCCGACGCGAGCGGGGGGCGCATAATCGGCTCAGGAGGCAGTCTCGCCTCCAGGCCAGCCAGGCGTCCGTCCAGCATATTCCCAACTGCGATGAGGATTTCTCGCAGTTGGGAGTCAAATGCCCCTGAGTTGGTGGTAGGGGCAGGCTGGGACGCGGACGGGGCTTCCCGCTCGGGGAGGTTCGCCTGGAAGCGGGCGAACTGAGCGCTCAGCTCGTTCACCCGCTCCGTCAGCTTCTCGTTGGCCACCTGCAGGCGAGAGACGTCGCCCGCTAGGCCCTCCACGACCTCCGACAAAGCGGAGGAGGAGTCCTTAAGGGCCCTCACAAACGAGCCCTTAAGGTTCACGGATTTGGTGGCCACCTTGTCGATGACGGCCACCGCCGCTTTCGCCCTCTCCTGCACGGACACGGGAGCCTGGGGGGCATTTCCCCCCACCGGCTCCCGAACCTTGAGCAGGAGATCCGCGATCTCCTCCTCCGCTACGGCCTCGCCGTCCACCCGTACGCTCCTGTACGACTCCGCGTTGGAGAACGCGGAGCCTGACGGGATCGCGACCGAGGCCGGTTTGCGCGCCCTCCCTCGGCGGCTGCTTGCCACCTTTGGTGGCATCATTTCGCCGGACGTGTCGGTTTCCACGTCCCCTGAGCGTCCGCGTTTCCGGCTGTCGCTCCGCTTCGCTTCCATGGCCTCCGCGCCATCCGATGAAGCGGCGGATCCGGAACGCAGCCGATCCGATGCTCTTCGGCTCCCAGTGACCAGAGTCAGACTGACCTCTGGGAGCCCCATCGAGATAGGCGTTCCTGACACCATCTCACCCTCAGTGGACGACCCATCCGCTCCACTGTTCTTCTTCTCCCTCCTTGCCTTCGTTGCCGTATCCGTTTGACTTGCCTTTTTCCGTTGAGTTTGGTTTTCCGATCGTTTGTCTATATTTTTAACATGTTCCATAATAATCCCACGAGTGGGGGAGAACTAAAGGTCCACCCGGGCAGAGATCCCCCATTACCCGGGCAAGCGTAAGTTTTTAACCCAACCGAGGGGTCCGCAGGTACCTCGGCTTGGAGTGCGCTCGCGACTGAACTTCCCATCAGCCATGCATCCCCTGGCCACGCACCAGAACACGGGATTCGGGGAATTTTTTAGAGAGGTTATCTTCCTCGCGGTCCGGGCGGTTAAGCCAAGACCCTCGCCCCCGATCAGAGCCGCGAGACTTAACCACAGCGCTCTTCTCGGGATTACGATATGCCGACGGTTGACGGGGAGACTACGTCCCCCTGCCTGCTCGGTGGTAGTGTGAGTACACGCCGAGCCCGTCCTCCTTTCTCCACCGCTATCAGCGGAGAAACTGTGGCCCCTACAGGGCCCCGCCATCAGGTTTTTTACCGAGGTTTCCTCCTCCATGCTCCGAAGAGCGAAGAGCCAGCAGGGCAACCGGCAGACACGCCCACCCTGCTGGACCAGGCCTTGCCCGAGAGCCGATGAACGGCTGCCTCTTCTGCTAGAATATTGGCCGCTGGCGATAATCCTCTCCTCCAAGAGGACAAGGAGGGAACAGTACCATCGCCAGCGTTTCCAGGGTGCACCACGAGGAGGTTTTCTAGCCCAGCAAAGCCGTGAGGTGACGGATTAAGAATACAAAGTGTCACCACCCTCATTCATCCCGTGGGTGTCGCAAGAGCCGACTAAGGGAGTAACTAACTACGCAGGACAACAGCACTGCAAAGAGAAGGAAAACTTGAAACAACCCCTATACCAACCCGTCTGGCCAGCGTGGTATAGTAGGCCAAAACCTCCTTTCTAAGGAGAGGCCTATGTCCAGCAGTGGACTATTAAAGGCTGTTGATGTGATGTGATGATGATAACGGTAAGTCGCAAAATGAAAACCATTCTTACCGCTTAACAGGTGTGCATATAGTTTACTTTTTAAACCATTAAAAATTTCTTGACGAATGTAACTCCGTAAAACTCACTACAATAACTGTGAGACTGGCAACAAAATTGCTTTTAAATTCATTGTGTTGAACTTTAACCCACTTCCAAAGACCTCACGCATCACTTAATATATTTTGGTACGCCTTTTTTTTTTTTTTTTTTTTTTCCGTGCGGAAATCCCCTCGGATACCACCTGTCGGTGGCATGTCGGACTCGAACCGACTAAAACCGCACGCCTTCGCCGGGTATTAATAGCCGGGGAACCAGGTATACCCTAGAAAGGAAGGCCCTGGTGCCCCGACATACCTCGGGCCATCTACAACAACAGGTAGACGACCCCCATGTTCCCTCTGCTCCCTGGAAGCGAGCGCGCTCGCCGCCACCCCCGGCCTGCTTCTGCTAGGGTGACAGATGGCCTCACCTGTCACCCCCAGGCCTGCGCTTATGGAGGACGGAGGTCGTTCTGCGACCTCCGGCGCCTGAGTTGCCTGCGCTGCCTGGCCCGAGCCCGGGCCTGGCGGGCCGGGAGAGTTCTAAACCTCTCCCGGTCCCGCTCCGCCGTCTCCTTCGCGAGCATAACTTGCTCGCAGAAGGAGACGGCAGAGTTCCACGCACTCTCGCTCCGCACGATAGCCGCAATCAGGCTATCGAGCGAGAGAACTCCCACTCCGATGGCCGCCACGAGGTCTCGCCTCTGCTCAACCCACGCCGGGCACTCTGCCAGCGTGTGGAGAGCCGTGTCCACGGTCTGGCCATCGCAGTGGTGGCACTCAGGCGTTGGCTCCTTGCGGATCAGACACAGGTGATCTCCGAAACATCCCTTCCCAGTGATCACCTGCGTCAATCGGTATGAGAGGGTCCCGTGACGCCTCTCGAGCCAATCCTCCATAACGGGTCTTACCGCCGCAATGACGGCGTGCCCGGCGCTCGGTTGCCCGAGTCGTTCCCTCCACTCCCCTATGATGACCTGGCGGAGTTGGGATTTCCGGTCATCGATTTCTCGAATCTCGGGGCATCGACCCAACTCCTGCGCCTCCTTGCGCCACTGATACAGTGCCGCAAGGGCTCTCGCCTCCAGGTCCCACGGTGGAGTTCCGGCCAGGAGACTCGCTGCCTCAAAGGAGATCGTGCGGTACCCCCTTATGATCCTGATGGCCAGCATTCGCTGCGGTCGTCGCAGTATCGCGACGTTGCTGGCCTTCAGGGCCCCCGCCCATACCGGGCACCCGTAAAGGGCCATGGACCGCACAACCCCCGAGTAGAGTCTCCTGCAGGAGTCATCGGGTCCCTTCATGTTGGGCAGCAGCCGCGCCAACGCACGCGCTGCCCCAACCAACTTGGGGACCAGACCTCGGAAATGATATCCGAAGTCCCATCGGCTATTTTGGTACGCCTAGATAATGCATAAAGTACACACGTGATTGTAAACACTTTTTAACGTATCGAAGTGGCAGACCTCCCCTTTCTAAATACGCTAGTCGGCAAATCGACATTGCTTTACACAGTTTCTCACCAACACAATAGGGTAATCAGCCACCCGTGGCTCTTTGTGTTTGTCTCTTTACTCAAACATAACTTTAGACCCCCAAGTGGTGTGGAAAATTAATATACCCCTACCCTGTGATTCAACTGATTGGTTTACAGCACGAGTAAATTGTATATAATAATAATAATATAATAATAATAATATAATAATAATATTATAATAATATAATATTAATATTACTATTTATATTACTTTGTAATATTTGATTAATATTTTCTTACTGAATAGTGTTATTTTCGTTTAAGTCTAGGCTCTGTAAACAATTACTTTGCTATTTTAACGATACAACCTCCTACGTTACTTATAAAGCACAAGTGGTAATTATAGCAGGCATCCAGCTACAAAAGAAAAACTAAAAAAACTAAAAATTCAGGGTAAATAAAATATACATCTGCATCCGATTAAATCCCGATCCGTAAACCGTCTCTGTAATCTATCAATAAACCCTAACTTATTAAAATAAGGTATATGTATTACGTTAAATATTCATATTAAAAAGTTCTTATCAACGAAAGAAACGAAACAGTTATAATTTTATGCTACAACTGCTACTCACACACACACTAGTACTTTCAATTTGCACCATTTATATTTTGATATTCACTATATATTTATTTAAAAAACTCGAATTTAGATCGACACTGTGAAAAATTATCGATAGTCATTTAATTCCAGTTGTCAAGCGTAACTTAAAATCTGAGTTCCTAACCATAACAATTGTAAATAAAATATCCTAGAACTTAAAATTGTACACTGTGCCAGTGTTTTATTTGTTTATAATTCCTTCGGAAACAAAAATACCACTCGCAGCGAAGGGTTGGGTCACATGGCTCAACTACAATGAATTCAATTACTGCAACTGTTAGGTATGATTTGTGGCCATAGGGACACTTGTGACCCATTTAACTATTTAAGGGATATTTCGTGAGGTTCATTTAAGGGTTATACTATTCTGTGGCGAGCGATAAATTTAACAGGGATCTTAAAATGACTGTTATTGGTCGTAAATTCATTTTTAAATAAATTTTATTAAATGCCGAATGAATGCAAGTCGTAAATATCATACGATTTTATTGGTTTTTTATTATATTTGAATATACGAAGCGTGTGATTATGACTGCATCGGTTTATGTTACAAATATTGAGTTTTATTTGAAATCTAATTGTATGACATTCTACATATATATTGACGGCATCTACCTGATTATTATGAGGTGAAAGGTTTTTCTAGTTTTCTGTTCAATATTAGATAAGTTAACACTGAATCTGAAGATCATTAATACTTGATATTAAAGTAATTACATTATAGGGTACAGTACAAATTTACTCAATCATACAAATGCACAAAGTTCTAATAAACCTAAAAATAATAATTTCTAAATTAAAGACGAAGATTGAAGTCCGTTATTAAATGATAGACATTTAATAACGGACTTCAATCTCTTTATCGCAATGAACCGTTACCGCTGTTGCTAACTGCAGCTTTATCAATTCCAGGGTGGCATATCAGCTGAAGCAGCAAGTGATAGTGACGACGAACCCGTCCTCAAACAACCAAGGCTCAGCAGGAAAGGATCTCCGAGAAGACAACGAACTCCGGTCAACGCTCGAAGGAGAGAAAGCTCCCTGGATAGCAGACAATCTGCGTCTGAGGTATTTGGCTTGTATAATTCGAATTCAATGGTTTTCGCAATGTTTCTTCAGGACCAATTCTAGTATGCGGTCGACGTCCTCCGTTTGGCATGACAAACGACGATCGGTAGGTAAAAAATAATAACATAAAAATGACTAGCTGCAACGTGCAATGTCAGTTAGTCAAAGTAGTCGGATTTTTTTCATCCCGGAACAAGTTTTTGATGGCATGATTTATTAAGCCATTTAGTTATAATTTGACTTTTAATTTTAGTCGTAAGATGTTGACCTAAACATTTATCCCACTAACAAAACTGATGAACGTTTGTTTAAAGTGCCCTCACATTCTGCTCACCTCTCCTTATCCCGATTTTATTTCATCAAATTGAACATAACTTTAAAAAAGAAGTTCGATGATTTAATAAAATGTTATTCTTTACAGGAGGAACAAGAATATGTGCTAACTTATCAGTGGCGCGGTTTTGGGTCGGACTGCGAATCGGAGTTCGAACGTGGCCGACACAAAATGGCGGACGAAAGACGCGTTCCCGGCGCAGGCGATGACGTGACGCAAAAGGACACTGATCAGACTGTACCCGAAAACAATGACCAGATCGACGGTAAGAGAACAGTTTACAATAAATAAAGTAATGATACTAAAATAGTTTCGATAGCACATCTAACTTTTTAAGGTTTCAAATAGAGACACTTTAGAGATCTTAAAGTAAAAAAAAAATCTTACATTTGTTTTTAAGCAAGACAGTCGTACTTTTTTAAAATTTTTGATGTTATGTCAAATGGTACCAGACTAATAAATTTTGATACTATACACTGTTATTAATTTGGAGTAAATTACATATTGCAATGGAAATTAATTTATATTGTGTAGATATACCTAGAGAACAGTTTCCATAACCAATAGAATACCAAAGTAATATGAAATACTAAAGCGAATTGATTAACCTGTCTTCTAAATGTGAAACTACTTCTATATCTCATAACACCTATTGAAATCATGTATCATCTTGCATAGACACATACAATGAATGGGCAAGAAATCACTTTCCACTTCCACCTAAAGAAAACCAGCCGTTTCTCAACTGATTTGAATTTAATAACAATAGCATGTTTGGTATTGTTAGAAATGCCGCTCTTTTTATAAACAAACAAACATTGTGATGTCATTGTTTGTACCGTTATAATTACAGGCCTCGAAGTACACAACATTACGATTGAGCAGAAACTGAAAACACCTCCTACAGTTGTTAAAAGAAAGAAGCCAGTGGACACCTCAAAATTTAACCAGACAGATAGAAAGTCAAAACATTTGGCCACATTCTACTTCAGACATCACGACACAGATTCAGACCGACAGATGATCGAAACAGAAAAATCCCAAGAAGAATCCTCAGAAGAAGAATGGACTTACGTTGAAGGCGCCAAAATTGCCAATGAGGATTCCACAGATATTATGACGTCATCTGTCGAAATTCAATGCCAATTGCCCCTAGATGATAAGAAAGATGAAGAGAAGAAACCACCGTCTCCCAAACCTACACTTGAATCTTCTACGCCAGATTTGTTAAAAGTGGAGAGTACAAGAAATAAGGATATTGAAAGATTAGTAAATCAGGCTGAGGAATTGGTACAAAAACAGGCTATGGCAAAGAAGAAGAGTGCAAGGAATTTCAAACCGTTGGGTTTTGAAGAAGACAATAAGAATGCCAATAGGAATAAAATGTCCAGAATCAAAGAATGGCTCAATCAAAGCACAGAAGGCAAAAACGATACTAATCAAGTAAGCTGAAGATTTATTGAAATATTTTAAACTATACAGTAGGTAATATTATCTATCGTACCTAAATAGAATTGGTGTTGCACAAAACCGTATAATCTGCGTGGTGATATTTGGAATTTCTTGTGTTGTTAAAATAAATAATTAAGGAGTCGGACATTATGTAAAAACGTTTATTGAACAATCATGATATGAAAGGACAGCATGGTTGTGACTTTATCACATCAGCAACATATTACATCTACATACAACGTTTTTCATCTTAATTTTATACAAGTAGTATGCTGGTTTTCTGACTAAAGCACTAGGAAGGGTAGGTTCTTACAACCTCTTTATTTCGAGTCGAACTCCTCAACCAATTTGACTACTGTTGTGGCATACCTATACGTTGACATCCAAAATCATCAAGCCACAAAATTTAGTCAATCTAATTTTAGGTTTATAACTCTTAGAAGGCTGATAGTAGGTGCATACTAATTGAAATTCTAAAATTAACTAACAACTTTCTAGGGCGCTGAAAGTTACGACGCCTCAGGTGAATACACAACAGAGAGCGAAGTAGATACCTCCCTGACATCAGAAGAACGAAACCTGCACTCTTCGATGGATATGAGCACTTCTACCTGCACAGTCACTCCTACACACCACGCCAAGGTAAATTACCCTCATAGCCTGCCACTATTTATACTAGCTTTATATGGTATACGTTAAACTTATGTTGTAAATAACTTGATTGCTTACTTATTCTGTAATAAAATGATTCTGTTCAACATTACTTACTTTAAATTGCCGCTGTTTCAATCGTTGTTGACAATAGAAATAGGCAATATCAATGCTTTTTAAACTCTTGTCAATGATATTCGACGTAAAACATATCATTCATGGCGTTAATTGAACATTAAATTATATGGTACAGAAAATGTGAATCTAGAAGATTACCGATCAATCAATTAGCCTAGCCCAGTCCAATGCTGGACATAGGCCCACGGAGTGTCATAACACCTAAGCTTACGCCTTTCGCATGCCATCCATCCCAGCTACCTTTTCAGGTCGTCAATCCCCCCTGTTTTTCGATTCCTCTCCAGTCTAAGACCCGATTGTTCCTACAACCAACGGTAGACAGACGTGGCTAGCCTAATGCCATTTTGGCATGCTTATTCCTTTTCTATAGACAAGGACAACTCAAATATATGTCAGTATATTTTTTTTTGTCGAAAACACATTTATAAAAAAAATGTAACATGTTAGTTAACACTTATAGGTGGACATTTATGTCTTACAAGTTTATGGTTACTTTCTTAACAACTGTGTATCAACTTATTATAATGCGTCAAATCTTGGAACATTGTAAATCCTAATCTAATAACTCCTCCATTACTATCCTTGTAAATAACATTCAACTGCTAGCTTTCTCGAAATGGCAACATACATTTTACTCATCGCTGTAACTGATAAAAGTGACTAACTTACGTAACTTTGTTGGTTTTACAACAAAGTCGGTCATACACTTGTCAGTTGTACCATTATTCACGCAGCATGAATTTTGTGACGTGTATTCGTTGAAGTTTCTAGAGATAAACTGAGAATCAAATTAAAACAACAATATCAATTTTATTAACTAAACAATTCTATTTATTTTGAGGAAAATAATAAATTAAGACCCAAAATAACCATTTATAAGTTTTTAATATATTTACTTCCTCCGACAATGTATATATACTCGTACATGAAATCTTTAAATTCTATACAAAACATAAATTGCAATAAATCGTTAAAAATAAGTATACCTAACTATACTTATGTAGAACTAATGCTGTGTGAAAAACGGTAGGATATCTCATTGAGCACGCATAACATTGTATATAACAAAACGGCTAAGGCTTTTAACCCCACCCAGGTCACACTGCGCAAGAAGCGGGGTGGCAACAGCGCGCGGCCATGGTCCGTGTCTTGTCTCTCGCAGCTGAGCGGTGCGCACGCGTCACTTGCGGCCACGCCCAACGCCGGTGACGTTGCCGCTATGTCACACAATATGTCCATCTCTGAATCTGCTCTCAACACTCTTGCATCTCCTCAGAGAGTCACATCTGCTAATTCGAATTCTAAGCTTCGAGGAAGTTCCACAACTGTACAGGTTCGTCACTGATATGGCTAAGGCTAGGCTTTACTCTACGAATATTGTAAAAATACGCAGCTTAAAGCTTTGAACACACGAGTTACGTCTTTTCATAATGAGGCGTTCTATGCAATGCCTATATTACGGTTTAAAGGAACGTTATAAGATCACGCTACAACCCATAGCCTCTTCGCAGAACCCAAAGTGGGGGACCATGCTCGCAAAGCACATCTAGCAAACTATAAAATTGAGCCTATTGTATTTGTTCTAAGTCGTTGTTTTTTTAAGAAAACATGATAATGATTATTAGCAAATCACATTTTATTACAATTTTAATTTATATTTCTGCAGATGTACCAAATGCACGTTATTAATCGGGTAATAACTTACATGTAAGGCCATTAAAAGACAATATATTCGTTGAATATCAAATAATATCTTTTTGGAAAAAATAATTTAATATTACGAGAAATATAGAAACAAAATGTGACAGTAAAATAATTTTTAAAGAGATGTTTCAATCTGTAAGCAAAATAAATCCAACCCCCAAAGGAGACAAAAAACAGAATTTTACTTCATATTTAAAAGGTAACATTTTACCTTACAGTAATAAAGTACACACACAGTCTTACAGTAATATTTCTGGGACACACATATACCATGGTTCCATCTACAGATATATAACTTGTAGTTATTAGATTTGCGCGATGATATATTATATAATATGGATCTGATGTATTCCTTGTGTTATCTCTTCTCCGTCATATGACATTGATCGACCTTTTATCCAACCTGTATCCGATTACACAAAATATACTAATCGTAAATCAAAATCCAGGGTCATGTCTCCAGCACTAATACAATGACGGAAGCGTGCACCTCCTGTGTTGAAGCGAACGACAAACAATGTTGGTTAAGACGCAAGCGGTTCAAACTGAGGCGCAACAACACAGCGGCTCGGCGAGAGCGGTTGGTGAAGTCGCTAAGCTTCTGTGGGAGACTCAGCCCTGAAATCGAAGATAAACATGAGAGGAGTGCAGCTAGTGATCCAGCTACAAGCCGCAAGAGCAGGTATTGTAATTATAATAATTATAATAACTTTACACATCACAGACCCGACTATCAACTATTAACAACACAACAAAGAAACTAGGCAGACGCCTGTACTATGGTAATCAGCCTGCTGATAAACATACTTATATATTCCTAAATATATATATATTCATACATATCATAGGGAAAATAACACCAGAGAAGAAGAAACGATCGTGCTCATCCCACAAATGTTTTCAATCACTTTATCCTGGGTGGGAATCGAACTTACAACCAATAGACGAATGTCGAAAATTGAATATTGGTAATTGCTAAAGTTTAGTTAAAACGATATTGTGTTTTATATAGTTAGATATAGGTACATATATTTTGAGTTTTGTAATATTCCTTACAGATTCGACACCACCTCAACTTCAGGAAATGATAGTGACGAAGAATTAATAAAACAACAACTGGCCACCATTGCCCATCTTCGGAAAAGCATCGAAAAGACCCACATATCCACCATAGAACCCGACAGTGCCATTCCTGAACAGAACGAACCAGACTCCGTAGCTCCTAGCTTTAAGCTAGGCCCTGCTGGAGGCGCCGTGAGGCCAAGATTGGCGAGGAGTTTGGAAAGAGAAAGGAACTTTATATCTCTAAGTTTAGGGGATCCTAGTTGCATGTGGGACTTGTCTATTGATAAAGATTCTGATGTGGACAAGAGTGTAACGGCCGGGACGGAGGAGCACAGCTCGTTCTCGGAGCAGGCGTGGGATTTCTACCAGGTGAGACTTTGAAACTATTCTTTCTGAGACCTACGAGTGTAACTTTCTGGTCTAGGAAATCAGGATATGAGGTCGAATATTTCAATTTTTTGTAAACTTTATGAATATCTTTTATTGAAAAAAATAACTATCTTTATATATAGAAATGTTAAGTTAGTTGGTGTCATCATCATCATCAACAGCCCTTAACAGTCCACTGCTGGACATGGGCCTCTCCTTAGAAAGGAAACAACGGTTAGTTCGTGTACGATTCAAAAACTTTAAAGTTCTGCACCGATTGAGCTCAAATTTCGATACGATTTACAACACGCTTCGTATCGCTATTTTTCGTATCAGTTTTGATCTTCATTTCTCATTAATGCAGCAATAATATGCCACAGTAAAGCGTGGCAGGGTACAGCTACTCTGGATAGATAGCTCCCATATAATATAAACACCACCATCGAATAATTATGTAAATACATAAATATTAGATTTTGACACCAATCATAATACGGTAATGGTAATAAATAGTTTGTAAGCATTACTGAAACCACTTAACTTTTTATATATTTAAAATAAGAGTTCTCATCATAAAATAATTTCGAATTCCATTTTAAATTGATTTTAATTTTAAACAGGAAAAATACAACTCGGAACCTTACTCAGAAGCTCCCGATTCAGACGCTGCTAGACAATTGCTAGAATTCGGTGACGACTACCGCGCTTTCTTGGACTCGCAGTCGGACTGTTGTTCCAGTCTCTCGGCACAACCAGAAAACGACCAGAGCCCTAGCGGTACTAGAAGAAGACGCCCACCGTCAGACGTATCGCGAGAGAGGAGTTTACCTCGCTATAAACGCCCCACCAGGAACTCACCTATAGAAACACCATCCCGCAAACCCAAAAAGTCCATGTCTAGCGCCGAACGCAAAAAGACCCTTCTCGACAGCCTAGAGAGATCCAGAAACAACACGAGCATAGAGAGCAACGACGGCGGCCGCCGTCGCAAGGCCTCGGATAGCGAGCGCAAAAGTAGCAAGCGATCACCCGAGTTCGACCTTCTCAACGTTCAGGCTCTGAGCCGCAGGAGGCACAGCTCGAACTTGACCAGCGACGAAATCAACAGCTCGCTAGAGTACACGGAGGTGAACGACCGGCCGGACATCCTGGACTCGCTGAGCCGGCGCCGGCGCTCGGACAAGGGCGGCGAGAGTGAGCTGCAGAAGGTTGCGGCCTCGGAGCTGCGGCGGCGCTCGGCCGAGAGCGGGCGCTCGGGCGGCTCGTCGGAGTCGGAGGCCGAGGCCGAGGAGGCGCGCGCGCTGCTGCGGCGCTCGGCCGCGGCGCTGGGCGCGGCCGAGACGGCGCTGGCGCGCCACGACGCCTCGCCCGACCTGCTGCGCGCCATAGACTACGTAAGGACCTTCTCTACAGATTACAGCAGTAGCTACTCGAGCGACGACGACATGGCGTCGTGCGTGACGCGCCGCGCCGCCCCCGCGTGCTTGCGCGCTCGCTTGTGTCTCGCCGTCGCCGCCTTCTCCGTCCTAGTTATAGTTTACATTCATCTCCAGTGACGTACGGCTTGGGCTTGTGTGATATTTATTCTTATTTATGTAAGTATTCGCATTAAGTTCGCTGCGATCGTCAGATTACGCGCGAGGACGTTCGAGCACGATACGCGTTGACCGACGAACACATTTTTTATAGTAGGTATAGTGAATGTTACGTTTGTTCGATAGTCAATTTTAACGTTATTCCGGTTGCCTTATAGAAACGCATGTGAAATACGTGTTATCATAAATACAGGAACCGCAACGATCTCCTAACATTCCAGTATAGAGTACTTATAGTGTGAATAGTTGTAATGTAAATGTATGTACAAATTGTGAGCATTTAAGGTGTTTTGTCATTAAATGCTACTAATATATAAAAGTCTGACTATCGCAGTATATTAATTAATAAAAATACTAACTTATTAATTTATTTATTATATTACTTGTGACAGTTTCGCATTTTAGTTAGATATTTACACAAATTAAATTGCTCATTTCATTTATGTCATGTCAATAATTTTTTTAAGCTAACTTATTAATAAAACTCGTGAAACTTTCACAATTGGAATTACACCCTTCATTTCTTTTTTCGTTTAAATGTTTTTCCTTTCTACTAACTGTTTTTGTGTGATTGTGATTTGTGTAGTTTGTGTTTATTTACTAACTGCCTGGTTTTATTTTCTTTTTAAATCATCCTTGTCTCTTTGGTGGTGATAACATGGTGCTAGGTCAAGTCGAAACTTTAAGTAATACCATTACTTTTAATTTTTCATTCGCTTAGTGTATAAGTTAGGTACTGAGGTATGAAGAAGTTCAGTTTTAAATATAACTGTAGCTGAACACTTGAAATATCAAATTGATGGATGTCACATTTGACGTTTTCGAGATAGTTCAGAAAGAGGGTATATTCATTTTAAACGCTCAATATATTTATTACACCGCGTACCTCGTTATATGATAACGAAGAGATATCGTTCGTACTGTCTGTTGGTACTGTCTCTACTTTGTTTGGTTGTAATCTTTGTATTAGTATTACTTTACAATTCACATAATATTAACATTTCTTGTAATTTGTGATTTGACTGAACTCCGCAACGTCTCACATAGTACGAGTATAGATGTAAATGTATTAATATTATGTTGAATAGGGATAGGTTGTTAATTGATCTTATTTTTTTTACAAAATGTTAAAGAGAAAAGTGATCCTTGTATAAATGGTTTGAAAAATAAATGCTAAATTTAAAAAATAAATATGGAGTTTCAGTCAATTAACACCCTACTCTCAAAAGACCTACCTATGATAGTCAGTCGTCGGAGTTGCCAGCAAATTATCTGTGTTGCAATTTCCAAATTTTTTCTTTAGTTGATGTGGACCTCTCTGCTTGACTAGACTAATTCATGTTTGGCATTTAGTTGTTGAAAGCTTGGGCATTAATTACGCATTAAGTTGAAGACGTAAGCTGCTAAATACATGCATGTTGTATGGATATGTGTTTATAATTTTTAAAAACTCGTGCACAATATGACATAACTTAATTGATATGTTCAAAAAAGAAGATTTGGAGTATTAAAGTGAGTTAGTTGTTATTTAAGCCATTGTAAAAAATATGTAACATGATTATTTTGTTAAATAGCAGCTATTTTTCTGTTTGCCAACGTTGTGTTTTTCGTTGCACAGACGGAGATAATCACTCGATGCCGGGAAAATATCAACTTATTAGACGCTGCTTTGGCTGGTGGGACGCTTTCTGCAACATTACAACGTGACATCAGAGGTTAGTAAATACCGATTTATATCTATACTAAATATTTTCATATACACAAGCATAAATGATTATAATATGAGATTCGCAAAATACGTAATGGTTGACAGTACAGTACGTAACCGCAAAAGAAACTTATTAAAATAAAACAGCATAACGCAATTGCATTATGAACACAATTGTGAGCACGAATATCTTGTTGCATGCAAAAATAAAGACCGTTGGCGGTCGCGAACCGCTATTACTCATATTTCGACCGGTTTCTGAACGAACCTCCCGCCGTCATTCTCCAATCTCGGTCGCGATCAAGGCTACTCGCCGTATTTGGACTTTCAGACGTTCGCCTTTGCTTTTTTTTTGTTATTTTTTTAATAAACTTAAAAGGAGCGGATCGTCTTGTTTGCGAATTTCTGGTTTTACAGTACACAACTTAATAAGGTACCTACATAATGTTATGTAAAACCAATCGAGACGTTATTTATGTCTACTTTCGCGGCAACGAATGGATCACTACTATAAAGTACAGTCATTCGTACTGTGTATTTAAAATAACATGATTTATACATTGTTTTCTTATCGTCTGGTTATATGTAGGTAAATAGACTTAGTGTTATGGAAGGTACTGATTTAACATACTAAAGATCGCCTAGCGGTCGAAATAAGACCGTTTAGATAGTTTTTTTTTATTTCTAACTTAAATTGTATTTGTACTTAGATACTTTTGGAACATGAAAAGTCTAAATATAAATTTTATTTGTATTTACATAAAGTTTTACTTTATATTTTAGTTCTCTACGCTTCTATTTGTAGCTAAAGTATTCCAAATTTCATATTCCCATCTACGCTTTTACGTAGAAGTGTGAACAAAATTAACCACACATATTATTATGAACAGATAACATATACGTATGATAACATTACTTATTACCCTTGTGGTTTTCTTTTTATTTTGTAACGGTAGATACACACAACAAACTGGCTGACATACATTTTATATAAAGGGTTTATTAAATTCACTAAAGAGCACTAAGGAAAAATAAAAGCGCGAGACAGGTTAAGTTTCTTATATCTTGGTATTTATACTCTTTTGCAAGGCCAATAAGACATATTTTTCAGTTTCATTAAAAATTCAACCAAATTACACTGAAAGAAAGTTGTACCTATAACGATCGGTTGGAGACTCTTTTTAAGCCATGAAATACGTGACCTTATTGTTTGCAATATAGATACAATTCTTATGGACACTATGAGATAGAATAACTGGCAATTCAAGTTTACTTGTAACTTTATTTATTTTAAAAACTACAACTCCCGCACTAGGAATATATCCTGTGTCGCGGGGGACTTTAAAAACATACATCGAACGGACACAAAGAACACCCAGACTCAGAACGACAATTTGTGGATCATACAAAGTGTTGTCCCATGTGGGGATCGAACCCATAACACACAGCGCAATATACCACTACGCCATTCGTACGTGCGTGACTGAGAGGCGCAAAGCAATATAATGATATTAATAATGTATTATTACAAAACGGACTTAACCCAAATAATAGTAATAGCTTCACACATCTCACACACGAGTCAGATCCCAAACTTGGTAACCAGACTGCTGAGAAACATACTTATATATTTCTAAATACATTCAATATTATAGATAAATTACATTCGGACACCAAAAATGATCGTGCTGATCACAATTATATGTCCTGGGCGGGAATGGAACCCGACCTCTGGCTTAGTAGTCAGGGTTATTTACAACATTTCAGATATATGTCAATTAACTAAATGAGAAATTTATGTAATGAGTGTAAAACAAAAAAAAAACAATTTACAAAACTCTCTCACCTTCAAATCAATAATTGTTTATTTAGCCTTCAGTTCACACCCACATGAGGTTTAAATGATCAGGTAGAACATGTTCAGACATGTCTTATTGTCTATACACTTGACAGCTATAAGGGTCATTACCATACGTTGCTAAATTTAAACTTCGCATACCTAAATCACAAAGCTTTTGCTCAGCTCAGTCACACGTAATATTCTCTAGTACTAAAACCTGGCTTTCACGCATAATTTGTAAGTAGTTAAGTTTCACTTAACTGGTCCACTATGTAATGCTTCTTATACCAAGAACTGTTAAAACTATTTTATGCTTAAAGAAATAACTCTGTGATGATGAATTTAAAAAATCGGTGTCGGTTACGGACTAGTTTCCAACCCTATTAAGAAATTGAAGAGTCCTGTCACGACGGAGAGCTGAAAAAAACACGTGGGTAGATCCAAAATTCGTTTTAATTAATAAACAGAATTGACATTTGCCGTGGATTTCTTCATCAAATATCGCGAATTCATAATATTTCCAATTAGTAGACCTTTTAGAATTAGTTTTAGAAGACTCGTTTATCTTTTTCCTTACAGACGTGGTTGCCACTTCTTGTAATCCTAGTTTTAAAGTCATTTTCAACCATATTACATCATACATTTTGCATTTGCAATTATGTTCAAAGTAGGAGTAGATGAATGATCAATTACACCTACTAACATTTATGCTTACCGTATTAAAAGTGAGCAACTCAAGCTGTCGGAAACGTGATAATTTCACCGACTACAAAGTTCAAAATAAGGACGTGAGTATACAATTTATTAAATTGTTATCCAGAGTGACAACCCTAGGTGATTCCGGGAAGCGGCGACACGCAGCGCGCTCACACGCCCATTCGTTCATCTCCATCTATTTCTGCCAACGAAAGCGGAACGGTCTCGCCAACTCCGAAAGTGTTGCCATCATAATCCGCTTTTTGCACTTTGATGATAACATTTTTGTTTACTAATTAGTAAGCCATGCACGGGACGGCACGATTGAGGGATTATGTAATCTAAACTCGTGTTTATATAATTGCTATAATATAGTATACTTTGTGTGTTTCGTCATAGTTCCGATTACATAGATTGACAAGACTTTTTATTATAACCCGAAATACCGGGTCTTTTTAATTGATTTTATAATTCAATCAACATGTAATTGTCAGGTTCTTGTAAGCAAAGTAAAAGGAAAAAGTAGACAACGCCACAAATTTTTGCAAGAACCTAATTTAAACTTCTTTATGACATTTTGATTCTAGTACCAGATTTAAACAAATAAATTTGATATAAAATTAGCAACAGAATTGTCAGTTTTTGCATGCTGAACTTAACTCTTAAGACGTCACAGAAAGCGTTTACTTTTTATTCTACACAGTATTTCGGTTGTGT